GATCATTGGGGTACTAAGCGGATGTGATTTGTCCATCAGGAACTGTTTTAGTACCCTTTTGGTATAATTTGATTGGTGGATAAAGATTCCACTTTCCAAATGCTCAATTTGCAGACCGAGGCAAAATTTAGTTTTTCCAAAATCTTTGATCTCAAACTCCTTTTTCAGATATTCAACAGCTTTCTGGATTTCATCAGGAGTTCCAATTAAATTGAGATCATCGACATATACAACAATGATTACAAATTCAGACCCATTTTTCTTTATAAAAACACATGGACAGATAGGGTCATTTATATAACCTTCTTTTGTCAAACTTTCGCTGAGACGATTGTACCACATTCGGCCTGATTGCTTGAGCCCATACAAAGATTTTTGTAATTTGATGGAATATGATTCTTTTGGCTTTGATTTGAATGATTCAGGTATGTTAATCCCCTCTGGGATTTTCATATAGACATCATTGTCTAAGGAGCCGTACAGATAGGCAATAACCACATCCATTAATTGCATATCAAGATTATTGTGTACTGCCAGGCTCACCAGATACCTAAATGTTATTCCATCCATGACCGGGGAATATGTTTCTTCAAAATCAATACCCGGTCTTTGGGAAAAACCCTGGGCTACAAGCCTTGCTTTATATCTTGTAATATCATTATTTTCATTTCTTTTTCTCACAAACACCCATCTGTAACCAACAGGTTTCACATTTTCCGGTGTTTGGACTATAGAGCCGAATACTTGCCGTTTTTTCAATGAGTCCAATTCAGACTTAATTGCGTCTTTCCATTTTGCCCAATCATCTCTTTGCCGACATTCATCAACTGATTTTGGTTCATAATCCTCGTCATCTTTCATTATATCGAGTGCTACAGAATATGCAAATGCATTATCAATACTTGTTTTCTTTCTGTTCCAATATTTTCCACTGGTGGTATAGTTAACAGAAGTTTCAATAACTTCATCATCACTTTCATCAGCATTTTTAGTATCAACCTCTTCAGGGGTTGTACTGACCTTTTCAGGTATCTGATCATTGTTGATCTCTTCACCAGGATTTACAATTTTCTTCTTTCGTGGATTCTTGTCCTTGGAACCCAATGGTCTGCCACGTTTTACGCGGGCAGTATGCTCATTAGCACTTGGCACTTTTCCTTCTGGGATATTTATTTTAGCTGGTGCATTTGCTGCTGCAATATATGATTTCGTAACCCTGGCAGCATCATTAAAAGTATCAGGCAATTGATTTGCAATTTTCTGCAAATGCACAATTCTTTGAACTTCAAATTCACTATGTTTCGTACGAGGATCAAATTCAAGTGGTGTTTTCCATGAAATTTCTTTTTTCAGTAGATTACTGTCTCCCCCCTAATGTCGGGAAATGAGATTCATCAAAATGACAGTCTGCAAACCTTGCAGTAAATAAATCACCCGTTGTTGGTTCAAGATATTTCGCAATCGAGGGTGATTCATACCCGACATATATACCCAACCTTCTTTGAGGTCCCATTTTCGTGCGTTGGGGTGGTGCAATTGGCACATAAACAACACACCCAAATATTCGCAGGTGAGATATATTTGGTATTTTTCCAGAAACCAATTGAGTAGGGGAATAACAGTGATAACTTGTCGGCCTTATTTTCACGAGGGCTGCTGCATGTAATATAGCATGTCCCCAACATGATACTGGGAATTTAGACCTCATAAACAATGGTCTAGCAATTAATTGCAATCTTTTGATAAGGGATTCAGCCAGGCCATTTTGCGTATGTACATGGGGAATAGGATGTTCCACAGTAATCCCAATTGACATGCAATAATCATCAAATGTATGTGATGAATACTCTCCAGCATTATCTAGACGTATTTTCTTTATCAGGTGATCTGGAAATTGTGCTCGCAATTTAATTATTTGTGCAAGTAGTCTAGCGAAAGTTAGATTGCGAGTAGATAACAGGCATACGTGTGACCATCGCGTTGACGCATCGATTAGTACCATAAAGTACTTGAAAGGTCCACACGGTGGATCTATTGGTCCACAAATATCACCCTGAATTCTTTCCAGAAAAGCTGGGGATTCAAATCCAATCTTTGTTGGAGATGGCCTGATTATTAATTTCCCTTGGGAACAGGCAGCACAAGCAAATTCATTCGGACTCAAAATATTTTTCTTTTTCAATGAGTGACCATTTGAATTTTCAACAATTCGCCTCAGCATTACATTGCCAGGATGCCCAAGTCGATCGTGCCAAGTTTTAAATTCGCTAGTAGCCATTTGGTCTACTAGGTGATATGTTTCAATGGCACTGATTTTTGAGTCATATAAGCCGGAAGAAAATGATGGCAACTTTTCTTTCACAATTCTTTTGCCATTCACAACCTGAGTTATCAGAAGATATTCATTTTCTGCCTCATTCAATGTTTCAATGTGATACCCATTTTTCCGAATATCACTGAAGCTCAGTAAATTTCTTCGAGCTTTGCTCGAGAACAAGGCATTTTCAATTGCCATTTTTGTCCATTTTGGGAGATATACAATGGTTTTTCCTGAGCCTTCAATCATTTTCGATGCACCACTTATAGTAATAATTGTGGTCTTTCCCATATTAAGATGGGAGAAATAGCTTTTGTTTTTCAGAATGCTGTGAGTCGTAGCACTGTCGATAAGGCAGATGTTGTCATCGGCTCCAAAATATTTGGCATCCATATCTTTGCAAGAAGGTAAAAATAATAAAAGACATGTATTAGTAACATAATCAAAATAGACTTATATTATAGGGGGTAAAACAAAAAGGGGGGCAAAAAGCATCAACATGACAAAAGAGATACAATATCATTTTATCATTTAACATCATCAGCTATGTCAAGCAGATCATCGGCATCCAGGTGCGTGATATTTTCATTCATCACATCGTCAAATGTGTCATCGTGGGCAGCGTGATTTGTTTCGGGGGCAATTCTTCCCTGTCTTTCTTTTGAAGCCCGATACAGTTCAGCCAAGTGACTGGCTGTGCGACAAACATGGGCCCAATGGCCCTTGATTCCACACCGGGTGCATTCCTCGTCATTATTTCTGTTTCTCCCGGTGTTGATCCTCTGTTGAGGTCTGTACGGCCTTTTGTCATTGTAACGCCGATTTGGCACATATCGGGGTCTGTTTTGATAATTATTGTGACTGTATGCGTTTGCCCGGCCCCGTCCGCGATTCTGATTTCGATCGCGATCAATTCTTTGATTTCTGACTTGCCCACGACCACGCACCGGATTTGCCGGTTGTATTGCATTTGCCTCTGGAAATGGATTTGCACCTGTTGGCCGAGATTCGTGATTTTTCAACAGTAATTCATTATTTTTTTCGGCCAGTAAAAGACAGGTGATCAGCTCAGAATATTTCTGGAAGCCTCTTTCGTGATACTGCTGTTGCAAAACCATGTTAGAGGCATGAAAAGTGGAGAAAGTTTTCTCCATCATATCAGATTCAGATATATTTTCGCCACAGTGGCGCAGCTGTGATGTTATTTTAAACATTGCAGAATTATATTCTTGGACTGTTTTAAAGTCCTGAAGCCGTAGGCTTTGCCATTCGCTTCGTGCCTTTGGCAACAATGTCAGCCTCAAATGATCATATCTTTCTTTCAATCTCTCCCACAATTCGAGTGGGGATTCCAGCGTGACATACTGCATTTTCAGTGCCTCATCGATGTGATGGCACAAAAAGATCATGGCCTTTGCAGGATCTTGGCTCGGGGAGTTTTTATCCCGAGCAATGGTATTTTTCAAGCCCATTGATGCCAAATGCATTTTAACATCGCGAGCCCATGCCATATAATTTTGGCCAGAAACGAGGAGAGGGAGAAATTCCTGTTTGGCAAGGTTAATCATAATAAACAGATAAAATATGAAATGTTACCTTGCGGGAATTAAAATATATATAATCGTGCTGATAACGTGTTGTAATATTATTATAGGATTAGCCAACAGAAATATTAATTATTTCTACCGCTAACCACTATTTTATATTTTGTATATAATATATATAATAGGTAAGTAAATATATATATGTAGATGTGTGTGCCTGAGTGTGTATATTATATATATATATTAATAAGAATGTATATATATATATATATGCAGCACAACAAAGGAAAATGGAATCTGGGAGAGTAAATGGGTTGATTGGAATTAATGTGTAGTGTAATTTTTTTCATTACAGTAAAGTCCTATTTATAGGGAATATGAGTACACAATAATAGGCTACAAATGATACAACGTTTCATCTACGAAGATGGAACATAGCAAGAGTAGTTGCATCCACAACTTATACACGCATGTATGATGTGTATAACAAATTATAGTTTAATTTTAAAATATCTTTATTTTCCTTTTTAAGTAAAAATATACTATTTTTATTACTTTTTCTTTATTGCAAAATAATAATAATAATAAATACTATTTCTACTAGTCTTTTTTAAAAAAACCTTATATCATATTAATTAGTAGAAATATATCATATTATTTCAATATTTTTGTTCTTAAAAATAAAAAAGAAATAAATATTTTTATAAAAATTATAAATATGTTAACATTTAGGTATGATTGTTTAACTATAATCAAAATAAATATTTTTGAGTGAAATAAATAAAAAAATACATTAAATTGAAAAAGAGGAAATATTTTTTTAAAAACATTTAAAAATAACATAGTTAAAATTTTATTTAACCATATACATTATACCACCTCCGATTAAAAAAAAATTACAAAAGTCCTTTAATTAATATTAACTCAAAATCCAAACCAAACAAACAAACAAATAAATTACTCTTAATCAATATGCAATCGGTAAACAAACGCAGTAAAGTTTGAAAAGATAAAATCCAAATAAACACTCTAGAACGTGAGACGCCGTTGCTGCAGTCTATTGAATTCCCAAAATGCCCCTTCTACTATTTGACAATTACATCCCTCTTTTAAAGTACAAGAGAAAAATAACAGTTGAGTACCAGTTGAGTCATACCAATCCTTTCACTCTCACTCCCTTCTGCACTTCTTTTTGGACTTCCACTTCCAAACGAACGGGGAAGGCGCAACCTGCTTCCGATCGACGCCGAGGTCCCCATTCTTGCAGTTCTGATTCTGAGGAAGGAAACGATTGGAAGAATTTGGCTCCAATTTTTCGATTATTGGTGTTTAATTTATTCATTTACTAGAAAATGCCAATCAATTACGAATCGGCGACGCCGCCTCCGCGGATTGGGAAGATCGGGCCGTACACCGTATTTTTGACGCCACCGGCGACGCCAAACTCCGGCCGAGGACCAGAATCTCCCGGTGTAATTGCTCCGGTTCAAGTTCCGGTCGAGAAACCCTCCCCTCCCCCGGTCATGGCTCCGCCTGCGCAGTTCTTCAAAGAAAAGCCTCCATCACTTGGTTTCCTCAGGGACACGGTGGCCAAAATTCAAAATGGTATCTCCTCCATTGATTTGCTTAGAGTTTTCACTTGTGCGAATTTGGGCAACATGATTTGTATATCTAGTAAGGTAATTCTGTGAATTATGTCTAATTATGTTATTCGCCTGAATTGATCTTGTTCAGCGCATGCGAGTTTGGATGAGCATGTAGCTCGTTGGTTTGGTTTGGATCAATCCAAGTACCAGTGGGCATTGAACGATTACTATGAATGCAACGAGAAGGTAACTCGTTAATAATATAATATGCCTATTTAATACCTGTATGCATTTGCCTGACACCATGTTTAGGATGTTTATGCTTTGATTCCTGAGTGTGGTTTACTTCTGAAAGAGAAAGCTTTAGGAGACTTGTGCTAGTTGGAGATTCAAAACTTGAGATTCTAGCCCTGTCTCTTGCTGAGGTTTAATGGAATAACTTAATCAGCATTTGATAGGGAAAAACTAATAGTTAAGTGGTTGAGGGCTATATGTGGAAAAAGGAGCCATAAGATTATAATTTTTCATCTCAATTTAAGGGATTACTTTATCTCCCTTGTTTTATGGGATACATTTAGTTTTATAAGTTAGTGTATTAATCATATACTTATATAGATACACTTCTGGTAGAGTGCTCATTAGCCTTACTCAGTAGATAAAAGAGAGAGAAGTGCATGCTTTCAACTATAGATGTGGATGAACATATCTCATGTGCGATGTGTAGACTATTGTTATGTGTTAGTTTATTTTCTATATTCTTATCAAATTAATTAATATAAAATATGGGCTGCTGTCTTATGATGCACAGTTAAGATTCAGCACTGAAACAGTCGCCGTATAAATAATTTGTGACACTAACATGTAAGCATGTGATTAGGAATGACAAATTAATCTGCCCTAATAACTTCTAGTAAATACACCTTTGGATTCATACACGTCTTGGCGATGAAGAGCAGGAAAGAAGGAAAAGAAAATAAATACTTATATGGGTAAAATCACTTGTTAGAAGCCTAACTACCATAGATGATGACACTGCCTTGATATTGTGAGATCATCTGAAAATTGAGAAAAGATTGCAACACTTTTGAATTGGAATTTGACAATTTACCAAATTGAGAAAATATTACATATTAGATCATGCTGTTTCTATAAAAGCATATCCGGGTCCTTTTGTTTATCATTTCTGAAGCATTCTATGTGACAAAATTGAACTGTGGAAATACGTTTCGATTAGCCATTTGAATATCGAACTGTTTTAAAAAGTTTATTGTTGGTCAAATATCTCTTGCTACTTAACTGTTGCTGATTTGCTGCCCTCTTAAGGGGTTTCAGCAAATTCTTGTTGAGTTTATGTTCCATACTTCCTTGGGGAAATTAAGATGTATTTTGGAATTGTTTTAAGTTTTTTGTAGAGATTTCAAAATTAAAACAAAAAAAAAAAAACAAAGAGAACAAAAAACATATATTTGGTGTAATGTAAATAAATGATCGATGCAATGTTTTGTATAAAAAAATGTAAAATTTTAATGTAATTTATGATATATATGGAGAAATTATTTGATGAATAATGCCAAAATATAGCAAAACATTTTACTTTCTCACGTCCTAGATCTATTATTGTTACTTCTAATGCCTTCCTTGCCCTGATTGTAGAATCCAGAAGCAAAACCACAAATCACACCCGGTAGAGTGCCAAATGTATGAAATGGTAAGAAACTCTCACACAAGCATTTTGTTTCTTTTCCAAGAGCATTTTGTTTCTTAAAAATGTGAATAACAATGACTACTGTCTCTGGACACATTTCTTCAGGTTCTTGGTTTCTAAATTCTGGAATACCAAAGAACAAGACCACAGTTTCATTGGTACACTTGTTCTTGAAGTGGCTGATGTTATGCATGGAAACTTCACCCTATTAATGCCCTGTAATATTATGTAATTTTTATTATTGCCTAGATCAGATGTCTTACAGAGTTGCCTATTGCATGCTCCTCCATTCTTATGTTACTAATATTATAGTATCATGTAATATTTATATTCAAACTATGGTAATAACCGAATCTTCTGTTGGGTGTCTGATAACACGAGAACTTAAAAGAACCAAATGACTAAACTTTATTGATAACCAAGGAAGAAGTATTCTTCCCGACCAAGCCGAAGCCGTGAAACTGAAGGAAATCACAATTCTAATAATGCCTCAAAATAATACTTAGGGCAAAATTACTTTGGGCCTAGGCCTAATCAACTTAATAATTTATTCAAAATAATCAAATAAGAAAATAAATAACTAAGTTATTTAATAATAAACTTAGGTTTCAGGTCAGTGCTACAATTAGCCCAAAGCGCACTTGTTCTTTTTTTTCTCGTCGTGAATTAACTTTTGGCTGCGCCCACCGCATATCAACTGCGTCTCCCTTAAGAACTGCCTTGTCCTCAAGGCAGGAGGTTGGGAACTGAGCACAGAACTATTCCTCGTCGATCTAAATTGTATCATTTGGATGAAGACCGCGCCACTGAATCAAGTCTTGAGAAACCATACTTCCGGCACGTTTGATCAATCGTCTGTCCAGAACAACTTCAGGATCGTAAACAGGCAGCTGCTGGACCTCTAAGTTATTGGGTAAATGAGGCTTAACTGGTTGATTGCTCAGCACTCGATGAAATTGAGATACATGAAACACAAGATGGATACGGCTAGTAGCTGGCAAATCCAGCTTATATGCGACCTTTCTCACGCGGAGAAGGACGCGGAATGGTCCATAAAATTTGGGCATGAGCTTGTGATGGATGCCCTGGCGCAAGCTGCCATGGCGATAGGGTCTGACCTTCAAGAATACCAAGTCACCAACCTGGAAGGTGAGCTCACGGCGATGGGCATTGGCTGCCCGCACCATGCGATGTTAAGCACGCTCCAAATGGTGTTTCAACTGTCGCAGAACTGCCTCGCACCCGCCAAGTAACTCTGAAGCTGCAACAACTCGGCATTCCTCTGGTAAGAAACTATACAGTGTGGGTGACGGTCGGCCATAGACGGTCAAGAAGGGAGTAGTGGCAGTGTAAGTTTAGAAGGAGGTGTTGTACCATAACTTAGCCCATGGAAGGCACGCTGCCGATTTTCGGGGTTGTTCCGAGCAAAAACAACGAAGGTATGTCTCTAGTGTGCGGTTCAAGACTTCAGTTTGGTCGTCAGTTTCCAGGTTGTACGCCGAGCTGTGCAAGGTCACCTGCTGTCCCGCCAAATAGTACTGTATCTCCAAGGCTTCCCAATCTATCTGAATTTTTTCCTAATATCCTGAGCCATGCGACACCCAATATTATATCCACCCCACCAAAAGGAAATACGTGACAATCTGCCTGCACTTTTGCTCCATTGATCTGTATACTCAATTTCAAGCAGACTCCCATACTTGCCACCTTGCGACCATCGCCTAGTACAATGTTGAATTCCTGGGTGTCTACGTTCAATTTTGCATGTAGAACCAAGTTTTGGGAAATAAAATTATGGCTTGCACCGCTGTCGATTAGTACCGTTACCCTAAATCCAAAAAGACTACCACAGAGACGCATAGTTCGAGGTCCTGAAAATCCAGCCAAGGCGTATAAAGGAAGGGCCCCCTGTGTTGTTTCCTCATGGGCGGTTGGTCACTTTCCAAGGTAAGTCCCGCCTCCTCAGTAAATTTGCTCTCTCTCATCTCCCTTAACTCTGCAACCCAGTTGCCTATCCTTCACCACAACATTAAGATATTTACTTTTGCATTTGTGGAGTGGACTATTAGATTGTTTGCACTTGTAACAAAGCTGCTTCTCTTGACACTCGCGATACTCGTCTCGACTTAATTTTCTTGTGCTTCCCTTTGAAGAAGGGGTTGAAGTGACTGATGTTTGCCCCCCACAATATTATTGCTAGTTGAATGGCGGTTCTCTACCCCTCCAACTGTGTTTGAGGAGATAGTGCTTTCAGCTCGCCCAACCAGGTTACTTCGCAATGTCGAAGAGTTTTTCGCAGGTAAAATTCTGCCATAGATCCATTTTTCAACTTCCATTCAATGCTTCTGCTTAAGCGGATTGCAGATTCGAGATCCGGAGGCTCCACTACCCTTAACTTATTTCTGATAATTTGTTTCAAGCCCCCTAAATAATACCCTAAAGCCTGCGCTTTTGTCAATGGTTGAGCCTGAGTGGCAAGTTGAGTGAATGAATTAACATATTCATCAACAGAACATGTTTGCCTTAACGTTACCATCCTCTCATACGGATTCCCTATGAATCGATCATCAAACCTAGTAACCAATGCCTGTGAGAATTTGATTCAGGAGGCAGAAACATGCATTATCATATGCCAACGGGACCAATGGAGCGCCACATCTTCCATGGCCACTCGCACAAGACTCACCTTAATCTCCTCGGGGACTCCGTGTAATACGAAGTGTTGTTCGGCCTTCGCAACCCATCCCAAGGGGTCGTGGCCATCAAAGCTAGGGAGTTGCGCATCCTTAAGCTTAAAATCTGTTGTCGGAGTAGTCCACGTTCCTCCAACATCCTTAAACAGACGTGCTGCCCTGCTGATGCCGGCAGCCCTCGTCGACGAATCCGCTGCCTCACCTTCTCCCGCCATAGCTCCCTGCGCCGCCGAGCCCCTAATAGATGTGGTGGGCGGCCCATGCGGGAACAACCCAAGAATCGTATCCCGCATGACTGCTGAAAGTTCTGTTTTAAGAGTATCCACTTGTCGATCCACCTTTAATTCGACGTGCGACAATCTTTCTTATTGTGTTTTCATGCCTGTTCGAAGTTCCTATAGGGCTTCGTCCAAAGCTTTAATGCGTTGCGTATTTGTTAGCGTCATCCTCCTCCGCTCAAGAACTTAAGAAAACCAAAAGACTAAACTTTATTGATAACCAAGGAAAAAATACTCCAAGCCGAAGTTATGAAAGTTAAAGAAATCAGAATGCTAATAATATCTCAAAATAATACTTAAATATTATGGAAAAACTACTATGGACCTAGATCCAACCAACCTAACAATTTATTTAAAATAATCAAATAAAGAACTAAGGTACTTAATAATAAACTTAGACTTCAGACCATTGCCACAATTAGCCCAAAGCACACTTGCTCTTTTTTCCGTCATCGTGAATCAACTTTTGATTGCATCCCACCGCGTATCAGTGTAAGTATGAAAGAGGAAGAAGAAGCATATTAATGTGAAAGAGTTATGTCCCCCGTGGTAAAACAAACAGATTTAATTTAATTTGATCCCAATAAATGAATGAATGATTGGGATTAGATTGGATTGACTTGGGCTTGCCTGAGTTTAAGCCGTGTGAGCTTGACTATAATTATATAAGATTTGGGACTTATTCCGTACTCCGTACGGATAAAATAAAAATTAAATTGTTGCAACCAAACAACGAGCAAAACAGGGTGGTGGTGATTGCAAGATCTGTGTTATTTAAAATTCATTTTCTTCTATGAATATATACAAAACCCTACATTCTTTATAACAATTATTATTATTATATTTTTTCTTTCCGAGGTACACAATATTTGGTCTCTATACTAAAAAATTTCTCCGAAAAATTCCAGCGATTTTCCAAGTTCAGTTCTTGGATAGTTCGTTCTATTCTAGAAAACAATTGGTGGCGAGCCAAACTTGCTTCAAAGAATTCGCGTGCAACGCGAGGGTCGAATACAATATTCAATCAGTAAATTGTATCTGTTAATTGATTGGATCTATTAATTAGATTTTTGGATTTCACCCATCTCGTTTGACACGAATAGATTGTTAACATCTTCAATGTCTACTCCGTATCCAATGACGAAAATTCAATTTACATACATTGTCAACCTAATTGCAGCTCAGATGAAGGCATGAATATAATGTAACTTCCTCAATCAGAAAAGAAAACTACAGCAGCAAGTCAACAGTGTCTTACATGAAAAGCAGTCTTGCAGCTAACAAATTTCAGATTCACATACAATATTTCAATATACTGGAAATAAAATGGATATAATATGACGAATATAGATATGAGATATGAATAAAGATGCAGTCGAAACACCATGTAGTCAGTGTTATATATATATATATATATATATGCATATACATACATACATACCTATGTACATTGATCAGTCCATCTTCAGACAGGAGGTATGTTGGAAAAGGAGAAACCTTTATAGCCTTTATAAGCATAGTACGCAATACGAGTGTAATAGAATCCAGGGAGGAACAAAATTCCACCCAGTAATGCAAAAAAAACACCTGCAATACAACAATGCTTTAACATGAGACACGGGATAGAAGGAAAGTAATCAGATTCTCTATTCAAGTGACAAACATGAAAAAATGTCGTAATAAATTGCGATACTAAATGAATACAATAAATTTAACAGGAAAGCTCTCTAAAGCCTTATGGTTATGGCTGCATCTCCATAAAACTAGAAAAGAACCACGACTTAGGGATGGAAATGCAATAAACGGAAAACATGATAGAATAATGAGAAACTGCGACTGGCGGATGTGGAATGAACAAAGGGCAACGCGCGGCCCAAAATAGGTTGGTCCAGACCAGCGGTGGGCGATATCTCGCTCTCATCATTGGTCGCAGGCCATACCAAATACCATGTAAATGACATAAATATAAACAATATAGCCACAACGATACATTCTACTAGTCAGAGCTGCTCTGTAAGTGTTATACTCAAGGTTATACGACACGAGGAACACTAAAAGTCTACAAGCACAATAATGGCAAAGCAGGACAGAAAGAAAAATGGAAGTTCACAAAGCTGCATTGTCATAATCGACTCTATTGATGCACTGCATCTATGTAAAGTCTCCGAGATCCATACATAAATAGACTATTTACATGCATAGATAATCCTCGGCACGAGCTATCAGAAGTCGATATCAAATGAACATATAGAAATAAACCTTCTCCTTTTATCTCCTTGAAAGTCTCTACAATTATAGCATACTCGTGTGACGTGTGACTTGCTAGTCTTGAGGTAAAAACTATTGTCTTGAAGATTGAGCATGCTCTCACTATCCATCCATTTACATATAAATCAATATGGCCTTTTTCAAAGAATGCTCCTTTGGGAATATTTTTGCTACATACAAAACGATGAGAATATCTTCTGTTGAATCACACTGGAACACATCTAGGGAATGGGGTTTAGAGGGAAACATATCATTCTAAGAATATACTAAATTGCTAATTATAGATCAAAAATACTACTTGCAAATATAATATTATGATTCTTTTGATTTTTGAAGAGTCATAATTTGTAATATTAAAGAAGCTATAAAAAAGTACTTACTACACCTAATTTACATAAACAATCTCAAAAAGGGTTTGCATGTAAATCTATTGTCGATGTCCTCTATATCACACAAAATACTTTAACCATAATCTATCATAATTCTAAGTTTTTGTGGAGCATATTTGCCTAAAAGTCCTATAGTTCTTTCTAAGAAAACGACGTAGATGTAAAAAGTCCAAGCAAGATTCAGACAATTTTCCATCTTTCCCCTTGACCCAACAAATTAACTCAACTGTACTTTTTTTTCCCTATATAGCAGTGGCTGAACCCAAAGTGGGCTGCCTACGTACCCGAATGGGATCAAACCATACGTAGTTCTTAGCAGCGCTACATAGTCCAAGTAAACAATATGCAAGACCAGCCTAGGTAATCAAAATATCTATCCTAAGGCAAAATATCAACTGTACTTAAGAATTCAATCTTGCGTAACTGTGTCAGTAACCATCTTGCCAAATCAATCTTGCATCAGCATATGTCGAGAAAGACTCCAACCGCTTCAGCTCTACCTTGCAAAATTAATGCTTAGTGCAATACAACCAATATTTTACGGCGTGTAGGTTAATATAGTCCACGACCATATTGCCACAGCTGAGACATCGTGATATGGCCACAGAACTATACTGCCTGGCCGCACCGGGCTTTTAGGTCTAACATCATCCTATACTCGAAAAATGACAAAGAAAGGTCTGAAATTCCAAACAATACAACTTTAGTCCGGAAGACTAAACTTGAGGATTCTCTAAGAGAACATAATGCAAAAAAGCTCCACTCTTACCAACTATTATACCAAAATAATGAAATATTGGTACCATAAACCACCTTCCATCCAGCTAACAATTGATTTTTTAACTTCCTCAACAACATGACCCATTGTTTGGTGCCTCAAAACATCATATATTCTTAGCTTTAAGTTTCAGTTATATCCCGACGAAAACAGGAATATAGGTAATCGATAAACTAAGAATTTAAATTGTTCAAGTACCACCATTTCTAGTATGCTAATTCTTATCAAACTTCCATACTTGTGTCTCCCTGATTAACAATTCACTAATTCACTGCTTTGTCATCCTGTAAGAGATCACAGATCGATACATCGAAGCTTATTATAAACTACTAAGAAGGCTGAAAAATCCGATCAATAAGTTAAAAAAGGAACACCTACTTAACTATGACCAATTCGACCTTGTGTTCTTGTTTTAGTTTCTAAAACCTCTCTTCTCTACTCTTACCCCAGTGAATATATAATCAAAATCTCCATAGATTAATGGCCTTTAACTACTATTAACAATTGGCTTTTCCTTTTGGAACCCTAACACAGTGATAAAGCGCAAAATGAACTATTGAATGCTATAGAGCAGCTCGAAATCCATTCCTAACCAAACCCTAGGCAGAAATAGTGGAGGCACAAACGAAGTGGAGGACAAAAACGGAAATATGAATAAAACCAAGCACCGTGAGCGCGATCGCCGCCGACTTCATTGACGGCCATTAAGACACCGATGACGATTCCGAGAGTGCCAAAGACGAGGAGAGCTACGGCGAGGGCGATCTCCTTGATAGGAGGCTTGTTGTTGACAGTGTAGGAGGTTCCCATCATTATATCATCGTCGGATATGGAGAAGGCGTGATCGACGTACGCCATTGCTGCTGCCTTCTAATCTAACAGCTTAGTACTCGGTGGACTATTCGTCTTGATTGATTATATATAGAAAGAGAGCGATTGGATTGGAGAAAGGGAGGGAAGAGCGGTGGTGGTATTATGGGGAAGAAAGAAGAAGGGGAGATGGAGATGGGGTGGAGGTGTTAAATGGTGAATTTTCTTGGGTGTGGTCTCTCTCGGTGCTCTGACCTGACCGGACACCGAACCCAACAATAGCAATGACCCTTCTCGCCGCCAACCGCTGGATTGCTTCCAACCCTATTCTCACCAGCACTTTCTTTTCATGTAACCATCTTAAAACTCATAAGGTATAATGGCATTTCATTTTTTTTTTTTTTTTCTTTTATGAATTTGGGAAAATTTGTTTTTATTTTAGTATTAAAATAATATATATTTAGTGTGTTGTAACAGAGAAAAAAAAAAAAAAAATTGTATTTTAGGCTACAGTAATTCATGTAATATTTTTTTTTTATATCTTATTATATATATTTTTTAAATTTTATAAATAATATTAAATATTTTATTTATTTTAATATATTTCAATTTTTTAATTATTTGATCATAAAAAATAATAAATATTTATATTAAATAAATAAATTTTTAATATTATTAAATAATATTTATGCAAAATATAAATAAAAATATAATCATTTGATTAAATACAATATAAAAATAATATTAATTATAAATTAAAATATAAATATAAATATAAAAAATAATTTAATTTATAAATAATAAAATAAATAAACAAAAATACAATTTGAAATTAATTATAAAATTAAAATAAAATAATATAAAATCAAAAAAAAATCAAGCAACAACTTTTTTTTTAAAGGGTATTTTAAATAAATTTTTGATCAAACTTAATAGTTTATAAATTAAATTTGATAAAATAAATCACATCTTAATATTTTATAAATTAAATCAATAAAATAAATCACATTGCAATCCATAGCAAGCAAAATCAAAAGGCTACTTAAGTTTGAACCCCGACCTCACCGGCACTTTGGTTACATGTATTCTTAGTTACATATTTATATTTGAATGAATCTTAAAATTATTTAATACTTCATCCGTCCCAATACAATAGTCTTGTTTACCATTTTTGTCCGTTTCAAAACAATAGTCTTATTTTCATAAATAACCATATCACCATAAAACTACCCCTACTTTTTTATTTTTATTACACAATTGTCACTATTTTTTACACTAATACACTCACAAGGGCAAAAAAGTATTTTATCCATACTTTTTTATCTACTACTAATATAATATCAATATTTCTTAAATCTCCTACCAAACCTAGTTAAGACTATATTTATGGGACGGAATGATAAAGCAGATGTATTTGTAAAAAAAATAAAATGAGGTATTAATTTAAAATGATTACATTATAGTTAGACAATTTAAAATAAAAATATGTATATTTTGTAAGTGAAAAAAAAAATAATTAAATATATATATGTCAAATAATACTTAGTAGATAGACGTTTTGGCGCGAGACTCCCAGTAGAGGGCATTGACTGCGAAGCTAGTGGTTATAGGTTTTTGACTTTTTTTCTCTACCCTGTTATTTTCCTTTCTTCCCGATTTAATTTTTATTACTCCACCTTCCACCTAACATAACCTTCCCCTCTTCCCAAAAGCACCGATAGTTGCAGATCTGTATTTTGCTCATTGACAGATGTGAAGGTGTGTGGCTGCCGGTGATGATACTGGCGACATGGTTGGGAAGGCACGTTGTATGAGTGGAGGAGCAATTCATCCGATCTTCCGGTGGGAGAGCTCAAACCAGTAAAATTTCGATCTTCTTTTGCATATGGGGTTTAAATGAGTTTCAAAAAGTTTGATTGGTTGTTAGAATTCGATTTACTTGCCACAAATGCATTGGGTTGTACCAAAAATGGGGGGAGGGGCTCCAACCCACCCCCAAATCCCCCCATTTTTGCAGCAATCAACAGTGTTACTCCAAAAATGAAGTAACACTGTTACTTCACTCTATTTTTGGAGTGGAGTTTTTGTGGTGTTTTTTATATTTTTGGTAATTTTTTGTGTATTGTGTAATTTTAATTTTTTAGTTGATGATATATAATTTTATATTTTAAAAAGTTGTATGTAATTTTTATTTTTTGAAAAATAATGTATAATTTTATTTTTCAAAAGGGATATAATTTTAGTTTTTGGAAAGTAATATATAATTTTATTTTTTTTTTAAACAAAGATGCTCATTTTGCACTACGTAATGATTTAATAGAGCATATATGGGAGCAATATAGTAACTCTATTGAATAAATATGTCGTATTTTATTTGAACTATTTTGTAATGTATGTTTTGTAATAAATTGTTATGAAATAATAATATTACGTTATCTTTGTTTAATTATTATGATCATATTTGTCTTGATAGCATTTAATTATTTATTTAAAATTATTTTATTTGTAATAGTTATTAATTATAAATGTTAATTTTTACATATGTAATTTTTAAATATTTTATAAATTATATGTGTATAGATCTAATGTAAAAATAAATTAAAGTTGGGGTGTAATTTATAAATATGAAAAGTTATATAAAATAATATAAAAAAAGGAATATATAGAGAATATACTTTTTAGAGTAAAAATTGAAGTTTATGATTGGAGTAAAATTACTGATAACTGCATTTTTACTGTAGCAACTGCAAAAATGGAGTGGAGGTTTGGAGATGGTCTTAGCCGATTTGGAATTTATTTGCTTGTGTTGCGCTATCGAGTACGGGAGATGTCGGGTATCTTCTGCTGCCGGCCAAAGTTTGTCGGCCCTCTTTCCGGCCGGCCAGAGGACGCGCAGTTGGAGACGACGCGCCGCCCCGTGGCCTATTTTGGTGAAGTACTTTCTTGATTTATGTATTGTAAATTTATTTCCACGCCCACCTTAGTGAAATAGTTGTAAGGGCAATAATTTCTTACGTAGGCGGACTATTTATTTCACTAACCTACCAATTTTGAGTTAATATTGGAAAATTTGTGTCCATTTAGATGTGTCTGTTATGCCGTTGACCAAAATAATTTTTTTGTACACAGTGTGTGTTTTCAAGCACTCGTTCAAACTAAGAAATATATATTGTTCCGATTACTGAACAAAATCCGATCGGTAACTTTATCCAAAAACAGCTCAGGTATCTAGTTGATTCGATCCATAACGTTGGTTGGCCATTCCAATGTTTAGAAACTCTAACCTCGATCGCATTTAATATTTAACTTGCTTTTACTAAAATATGAACCTCGTTCAATTACCGATTCCATATGTACGTGTGGAATCTGTCACTTTGCTTGAGGGTGATAGCTGCGGCGAATTGTAGTAATTGGTAAAGAATTTCGTTGTCTCCTCTAGAATAGCTTAAAAGTAGAGGTTCCCCTCGTAGCCAACGATGTAGTTTCGAGTGTTGAGGTTGTAATGTTTCGTTTGATTAAAGACTGTGAGGAATGTATAGCACCATGATAGTTATGGAGATGACACAACCCCCTCCCAAAGTGATGTTGTGCGTTTTTGTTGGATGAAATATAATTATTTAAGCGCTCCTTTTGAACATTTCATTGTTGATTTTCAGTGGTGCACGGTAAAGGGTTCCCTTCGTACAACCACATTGGAGAAGTCCTTTATAGTACTCATCCTTGGTTGTGTTTTCCCATCACGTGGGTCGGATGCTCTTCGACGATGTCATCAAGGTACGCCTTCTTCCACGGCCTCCGATTTGGATGGTAATTGTCATCATAGGGGAATAAATTTTTGTGCACCGTGCACAGCCTATAATCGTATTTATATGAAAGTTAAATAATATTTTAATATTAATAAGTGATTACTTTTATTATAATAGGAAAAAATATTTTTAAGTGTGATAAACGAAATTGATAAAAGAAGTACTTCAATTGGAACAAAGTGATATTATCTTAGTTTAGTTTGTTTTAAGTTGATGTATATTTTTTGGTATTCTTTATTTTTATAAAATTTTAGTTTGTTTTAGGTTGATGTATATCATGTTTTACAAACTGTATTTGCTGATGAATTGATATTATCAATGAAATAAAAAACTAGATTGAAATTTGAAACTGAAGTCAAATAAGTTGATTTAAAATTGAAACTATTATACCTGCCAAGAAGTTATGAAAAGAAGTTGCAGGAAAATTATAATATCCGTATGATATTTTCTTAAGTATCAGACTGATGATTAAATTTGTTCAACTAAACGGTTAGTTAGTTACCAACTACTCATAGGTATTTTACTTGACTATAAACCTTATAATTCCTTAAAGTGTGATTGGTTGAGGGTTTAGATTTTGGATTTGGATTTTGAATAGTTAAAATTTTGAATTTGAATGGTTATATAATATGATATAAATATTATTGATGTGATATTTTGAATATAAAATTAATATTTAGTATAATATAAAAAAATATAAAATAAACATTTGATTTGATATTTTCTTAAAAAAAAATTAATTAAGTAAAACCCAAGATAAAATCCTTGACCAAATACATTCTTGGGTATAATAGTTGTTGATGTATTTTTTCAACAAAAATAAAGTAAAATTCAAAGATATAGAAAATATCCTTAAACTTGATTAATTAGTGCCTGAGATTAGGAATCTCTAAACACTGTATGGTACAGAAAATAAACTGGAAAATAAAAGACTGAAATTTAAAGTGGTGATCCCCAAATCTGACTTTGCTTTGTTGAAGTTGATTGAAGATGCCTTGTCAAATGATGATCCAAATCCTTAAATATTCTCTGGGAAACTGTACTGAAAACCGTCGCCCGAACGGTTACAACGTCTCCTTCCCAACCGTCTTCCAATCCTTCTCCTGCTGACACGTGTCCTCAGCAGACCAAAAATTATCCCTATATTCCACTCTTTGAGCCGACCACAGACCTTCCGCCCTTTTGGCCCGACTGCCAATCTACAACCGCATTGGTCCGACTGCCAATCCTCCCGACTTGCAAACCATCTGACTTATTTGGAGTAGCTACAGACATCCCGACTAACAAACCATCCGATTTGTTGGTCCTGCCGCAGAGTTCCGACCTGAGAACTTCCCGTCCTGAAGGCCTCCCGACCTGCGGATTTCCCGTCCTGAGGGCCTCCCGACCTGCGGACTTCCCGTCCTGATGACTTTCCGTCTTGAGGACCTCCCGACCTGAAGACCTTCCGACCTGAGGTCTTTCCGTCTTGAGGACCTACCGACCTAAAGTCCTTCCGTCCTGATGACTTT